AAACTCCTGTCCATTGTTGTCAACGTAAACCTGATAAAAAACAGTAGATCAACTCTTTGATTAATGTACAGAGAAGATAGGAAGGATGTCGTGAATCAATTCTAAAAGAACAAGGAGATCCCATGAAGCTATACGGACTGAACACAAATGTCTAAAGAGTACCCAAGTGACGAAGGAATGGGATGACTTTAGTCATTTACCCACTGACATCCATATCCCAACTATGGTTAAGAGGCATCAAGTATGCCAAACTAACTAGTACAAAGTTTAACCAAATTTCAGCAGCAACCAGCATCTATAGTACAGTTCTTGAATTTGTTAAGATTACCAACAACTATTTCACCAAAAGAACTTCAACAAGTACATAAATGACCTGCTCCAAAATTCCAAATATTAAGACTGAATATCCACTTACTTTCCTTCCATCTCCATTTGTGTACCAATGACCTGCAGATTTGCCAACTGCCTGCACCCTTCTCCTGCCAGCATCTTTTGGAATACCAGCAGAGCTCTTAGGGTTCACCCATCTCTCGGATCCTTGTGATTCTTCCACGTTATTTGGTTGTTTCACATTCTTTCTGCTCTTTCTAGAGTTTGTTCCATCAGCAGATTTCTGAGCAGTCCTTTTAGAGCCTCCTTCATGAGAAAATTGACCCCTGAAGACAACATGCACATAGACCTTTGGAATAAATCATATAATTCATGAAAAAAAGACCAAGAGAGAAGCAAGAAGCAAATCTATTACATGTAATCTATTACTGATGCATCATCTAGGTTTCCTCCAGGAAGATTGTCAGCACCCAAGGGGAAAAAGTTAGGCAAACGATCACGTACTAGCTTTTGGATTCTTGGATCTTTATGGAAAAAGTAACAGTGAGCAGGGAGAAGAGGGCCCTGAGGTCGCATGTAACTTTCAGTTAAACCACCCTTAGTAGTCTGAGTTCTTTTTCCATCTTTTACCGATTTGAAATATTCCTCACAAACCTCATCAAGAGCAGGTGTATGAATATTAAAAGTCGTATCTGAACAGAAGTCCTCCCACAGATCTTTAGTCTTCAAAGCAGAAGGTCCTGTTTTTCTCTGGTAACTTAAATCTGCATCACTATGCTGTCGATTAACGTTCAAAGGAGAATCCACATGATCTGATTCTCTTTCCACAAATTCACTTTTGGAAGGCTCATCAGAATCAGAGTCAATCAACTGGAACCTTCTCAATGGACTAATAGTTAGCTCTGGGAAGACCAAATTACTAGGGTTAGTTTCCTTACTCTGGTGAACGGAAGAAACATTTGAAGCCTCTTTCTTCCTTCCTGTACATCTGCTTACAGATTGCGAGGATATTACCCTTTGCCCCTGTAACGGGATTTTTGAACTGCTACGCACAGAACTGTGACATTTTGGATGATCTGATGAAAACAATATTAAAATGCAGGAGGGTTATAAATATTTTTAAAAAAAAAAAAAATAACTAACAACATAACATCTATCTGTGGTCTGATTTGTTGGTCTAAAAGAAAGATGGGGATAAAAATGTAGGGAAGTATCCCCAAATTAAGAACACAACGAGAGAATGAGTAAAACCTTGAGGTTCCCCCAGATCTGACTTGTCCGACTAGACATAGTAATCTCGCTGACTACATAGTTTTACTGAAACATAAGTAAAACTCCCTACTAAAAAGCTAATAGTGATGGTCCATATTTCTTGAGCGCACATCAAGTAGGAAATTTAAGATGTACATCACAACAGAATGTTCACCAAACAAACACACATGTTGCTTCTAGTACATAGTATAAGGCAAGATTGACCACATACTTTCCCTGTGCAATAACTAAACTATAAAGCTAGTTAAGGTCTTCTATGTAAATATTTTTACAAGAACGATAATAAGTGGGTCAGCTATGGGAATCTTCTATATCCATTTAGCATACTAAGACTCATTTCATTCCAATTCTAAATATTGTCTGAAACAAATCCAAGGTTCTCTAAACCTCACACTTGTTTAGCACTCAAGGGTATGATCGGTGGTTAACAAGGTTGGAATGAAGATTGTAAAGGATTAAAATTTGAACCCAGTAGAGAGAAAAATTAGGTGATTTCTTCATGATGCATCAATTTTGGTGGACAAGGTCAACCTTCCTACTCTCTGTACTTGTCTAGGATGCAAGTATTGAATGGAATAGACTAAGTGCACATTAATTGATTCAAATGCCACAGTTAAAGAAAAAAATTGCATACTAATCCCTCAATCATTAGACAATCTCTAAATCAACAAAGAGACGCCTAACACAAAGCCTATTGTATGTGTAACACCAATTGATACTTAATTAAACTAATTTGTTACTCTATATGGTTCCTTTCATTATGTTCTGTTCTAAAGCCACATTAATTATGAGAGAACACGGATCTTTTGGAATTATGTTCAGAGTGATATTGACTTATCTCATCAATTATCATGTGTTGCACATATAGGCCAGTGAATTTGGATTCTAAATCAGTTCTTACCAGAATTTCTCATGTAAGTTTTGGTTTCTAAAGCAAGCTTATATGAGATCTTGTTTTCACAATAGCAGATTGTGGAAATACGAGAGTCTTCCCTTCATTTCTATCAATCTCCCAAACTCCTTCCTAACTTGCAGATACCTAATTAAGCTTCAGCATTAAACTTCATTCTGGAGATACACAACTTACTATATGATATTCAATTTAGACATACTTACAAGTCCCAATAAATGAAAATAAGAGCTTTTCAGACAGTGATAGAGCTAGTAATGATCAATGGGGGTTAACCAAACCACATTTGGTGGAAAATTACACGGTTTACCGTTTATATCTAGTTGGAATTATTTTTTATGTATATATAATAGGTGTTGAACCACCTTAGATTTCTTGGTGGGTTTACTTCTTCATAATTTGAACCCCTTATTGAAAATCCCAGTTTTGCCACTGTTTTCAGCTACTATTAGGATATCCAAAAATCAACCTCTGAAACCGTGTCACTAGCATATATCAAGCAATTGAACTCCAACAAATAAAACAAATAATGAAAGCAAACTGAAATAGAAATCAACATAGATTGATTATTTAATCAGTCAAACCCAGTATATGGAAGAAAAAATTAAGGCCTCATGCTTTGCCCAGCTCAAATTGACAGATTTAAAACACCAAAACATAGAAAGGTAGCTAAAGATAAAACCCTAACAAAAAAGGTGAAGTCTTTTACCCTTAGGCTCGTCCTCCTGAGAAGAAAAATCTTCAATATCATCGTCCACATTACACCATGTCTCACCTAGCTTCAACTTTTGAGCCACCGGTTCGGATTTTGAAATAGACCCACGACGGAGGCGTTTGAGAGAACTTGTAGGATCCGAAACTTGCGGATCCGTAACCAATTTTGGAAATTCAAAATCATCATCGTCATCAACAACCTCTTTGATTGTCCGTAAGTTCACCGAGGGCTTTGGTAGAACTGTAGACTGGGGCTCCGAATCAAGGTCGAAATCGAGCCCTAGAGAGAACGATGGAGGTTCAAAATCGAGACCTAGAGAGAACGATGGAGGTTCAAAATCGGCCATTGAAAGGTGAATTTAGGGTAAATTTTTTGAGTATATGTATTTGAAATGTGAATTTGGAGGGATTTGCAAATGAAATTTGGGGAAATTTCTTTGGTTTGTGCGCCAATTTTTTCAGACTTTTCGCTTGTTTGGGCCTCGGGTTGATTGGAGGATTATGGGCCACGGGCCCAACTAAATCTGTTGCATAGATATGTTACTACAAATTTTCGACATCTTTAGACAAGTAACGGATCGAAATTATTATTTATTTATGTAAATCATACACTAATTATGTATAAATTATATGTTTCTGAAAATTTTAGTTTGAGTGATTGAAAGAACGGCAAATTAGGTTATTTTTTCTTAGTTTAAACAAGTTATCCTTTGTTGGCATGACTATTTAATTTAGTAAATATCGTTTCTTAACTTGACTTATAACATATGAATTTATTAGATCATATTATAAGAATATCTTTTGAACACGTTACATTTTTCATGAAATCAGTCTAAAGGGTAAAATTAATTTGCATTTAGATGAATGAACCAAAGTCCCACAAGGCTAACTAAAATTTAGAGACAGTGAACTTTCTTCCTTTGACTCAAATAAAAACTCTAAAATATTATCCTTTGCATGATCAAGATAGGTATGAACTTGACGCAATCAAAGTTGCTTCATAACCGGATAAGTTGCAATATATTTTCGTGAGAATTAATCGTTTTACAAATAGAGCGCCTTTTTAATTATTATTCTTGACCAGATCAACAGTCAACCTCAACTATATCGTTGACATGCCTTCAATCAATATCAGGTGTAGCGCTGACTTGTCATCAGTTGGCTATTTATCCAACATCAAAACTTAGACATGTGCTACTAGATAGTCTTTTCAAAATTAACGTATTATCTTATTGCATTATGACATAACTTTTGACTTTTCGGCCCCCTTATAAAAGGAAAAGAAATATCGATTTCTCTCTTGAAAAAGATTAACTCCATGTGTTAGAGGTTTAATTGGAAAACAAGTTTCTATCTATTTCTCACTTGTCTGAACTGTATTATTATATTTGATATCTAATTTATCAATTCAATTAAAAGAAAATAAATATACATATATTATGGTTGATACATAGTTTCCCTTCCCATAAATTTATATCTTACAACAACGATAAACAAGGAAGAGTACCAAACAATCATCACGATAAAAAAAACCATAGTATTAACATTTAAAATGATCTCTAAGCTTTAAATACAAGTGGCCAAAAGTTAAACACTAGACCATTTATGGCTAATTAATGCAAATTTTCCAAGGCCCAACTCAAACTTTACTATGGGCCATCCAAGTCCAAAATGATCAACGGAGGCCCATTTATCAAAAAGGACACCTGTCCTCACACGATTATTCGCTCCATATTTTTTTCGTAATTAAAATAAGAAAAAATGTCATTACTACTCTCCTTAGCAACCGATTAATCTAATTAATTTATCGTAATTATCTAAGTCTTCTGCTCAGCAGAATATAGGGTTCCGGATTTACTCACATAGTTCTACAATCTTCTTCAAGCTTCTGTTGTCTCCTTCCTGCAAGTTAGCAAGTACTCGAGGTGCGTTTTTTTTCTGAGAAAATTGTAATTCGAAGTTGTGCTTTAGTAATACACTGTTGATTTTTAGCTGTATTTATCTGTTGTTGTTGTTGGTGGTGGTGGTGGTGTGGTGGTGGTGGTGGTGTTGGGAACATATGTTATGTTAAACAAACTAATTGAACTAGTTTTCAGTGTTCTAACGTGTTAACATTTTATTTTTGGAGGTTAGAGATTATTTTTTTTTTGTTCATTTGTGTTAAATTGTTGAAGTTCTGTATATGATGTGGTTGCATGTTTCATATGCATTTAATTTTTTGCATCCAAGTTATGGAAATTTCTAGTGGAGGCAAAATAGTAGAAGGACTAGGTGATCTCTTCGTGTCTGTCTTAGCCTTGGTGGACAGAGTTTACGTGGTGCTTGTTTTTTGGAATTAGTTTAGGTGTGCACAAGCGTTCCGACACCACGGTTATAACAAAAAGTAATTATTTTTTGTTTGAGTTTGGCTCGACTTTGTTTATATGCGTTCGTGTAAACTGTAAACTGGAATATGGATTTTAACTCGCATTAATAGGTAGTGAGATGCGAATTGTTTTATGATTTAGTATACAAGTTTAACTAGATTATTTTTTAGATTGAGGATTGATAATTTTAGGCAAGTTGCACTTTTAGGAACTTCTATAGCTTCTATTTGCTTTCCTTGGTTAGAGAACTTACTATACACTCTATCCGATTCATTTTATCTGGACTTGTTTGACTAGGCGTGAAGATTAAGAAAGGAAAAAGTACTTTTGGAACTTTTGGGCTTAATCATGCCATGATAGTTTGTGGCTATAAAATCACGTCCTTATAAGGGTAAATGGGAAGTTTAACTAGTTGAATTGTTTTCATATATAGAAGGCGGTCTTTCTTCTTTGAAACAGCTGAAGAAGAAAATAGTATCGCATAAAATGGAATGGAGGGAGCTATTTGATTGTTTAGAGGATTAGCAAGAGAAGGTTCTGGATGTGTCTACTTGCCTAAAAATGAGAATTTTCAGTTGAACCAAACCCAAACAAAAAATAAGACACTACAAGTATCACTTGTATCAATGCTCGTGGTGTCATTAGAGAGCTTCAGAGGGATCCCGTCTAATTCCAGATTGTGCAGCTGCAAACTAAGACTTAAATTGCAAGAGAGTAATTCAAGTAATCAACTCTACTTGAAAACTTTTGGCCTAAAGGTTTGAAATTGGGATTATCAAGCCGCTTGATTTTAGAGCCAAATATCTGAAGTTGGAACTGTCACTCAGAATTTGGGTCTAAAGTTAGGCTTTGACAATTCCATCTTCAGAATTGAAGATCAGAGGTTTGTAACTTTAGGCTAGCAATTTTCAATTTGATCCTACATATTTGCATTTGATTTTAAAGTGATTAAACTTTAAATTGGAGTCTTAAAAGTTAAAGCGACTGTTTGTGCACTTCACCCAAATGTTTGAGGGTCTTGGAAATGAAAGGAATAGCGGGAAAATTAGGAGAAATTCGCATATGCCACTTTTGGACTGTTAATAAAGTTTTAGCCAGGGGCGGCTCTATGTAGTAGCGTGGGGGTGCCACACCAGCCAGTGATTTCGGTTGAAACTCTCTCTCTATATTTATATATTTATATGTGTATCAGAATTGGTATAAATATAATACATGCCACCCCCATTAATAAATGACTGTGTGGTGCCAATGGCAAATCGTCAAGTTTTTGTCCCCAGAGTCAGCGGATTCGTCAGCGGTTCGAATCCGATCTCTTACATTTTTCTTACAAACATTTAATATGCCCTCTTGTTATTTGACAAAAAAAATGAGGTTGACCAGATTCTAACCCGAAACGTCCTTTACTACTAATGTTCCAACAAACCAACAAGCCAAGTATGCCAATTTATAAAATTGATGATAAAGATTTTATAGTTTGTTTGAAGAAGCTTTAAAATGAAAGTATTTTGAAATTTCTTTTTTCTTACAAGTGAAACTCCAAAACTACTTTTAAAGTGAAATCCAACTGATTTTCTTTATAAGTTCCCTGTTGTAATTTCTATAGCAAGACTTGTTTGAATTTCAGTACATAATGATGATATTTCAACTTTAGAAATAGTTAGTCTCATTTTAATTGAGAAATAAAATGGCTAAACTCAAGTAATATCACAAACTTAGATGAAGATACTTACCTTTTTAAGCTTCAAGCCTTCAATTGTGTGAGGTTGGACACATAACGGACAGGGAGTTTGAACTCCAGCAGCCGTATTTGTCCTCTTGCTAATTTCTAAAATGAGAGACTAGTTAAATGTCATTTAAGTTTTAGGAGTTTAATTGGGAGTGGTTGTTTACGGGTCATGGGTTATCTAGTGGGGATGTGTTTATTTTATTTTGGGTTGGGTCTTTCATTTTTGAGCCTTCCACGTGCCCACTTGTCCAGTAGTTATGGAACTTTGCCTAATGGTAAGGTCTCATATAACCAAATAGTATAACTCTATAAAGGGGGACTGGTTTAAACAATAGAACATAGTAGAGGGGTATATTCATACCTTTTTAGTATAAATTATTATTATTGTTTCACTCATGGTACCTAATTGCCTATATTTAAAAACTCCATGAAAAAAATATGGAAGTTTGAACCTTTATAAGTTCGAACTCCAAAAATCGTTCGTTGAGTTTCAAACTCCTAGAACTTTTCAATCTCGGTTGTCAAAATTCTGAACTCCAATACAGTGTGCTAGGTTGGTCCATATTTAGTTAAGAGTATCTTTGTCCAAGATCGTTTGGGAGCAGAGCGGAGAGATATGGATGCAGTGCCCTTCAAAGTGCATTGCTTGGGCATAGTGAAAGTTGTTGATCTCTCTTTTTATTGTATTCTCTTCCTCGGGAAATTAGCTCAAGTGAAGGAAACTTCAGCTAAAGATAACAAGTTTTATTCCCGACATTGTTGATGGTTCATTATAGTTCTACCAGCATTTTCTCTTTCTTACAAGAGGAAGAGGAGCTCATTCTTAGCCTATGACAACTTCCTTATGATCTCATCCACATTGTTCATGGAGGACGTTTCTTCTCTAGATGCGTCCATTATACCCTGGATTGTGGTGGAGTAGCTTTTATTGTGCATGCTCAATTAGAAGTAACTACTTTTTATTACATTTAAAATGATCTCTAAACTTGATTGGCGACGCAGAAGTTAGCCATCACGCCTATTTTTTCTGTGTAATTTTTTGCAGGCCCAAGACAAACTCTGTTATGGCCCAATGAAGAAATTAGGGGCTGTGGTCCAAGTATATAAATGACCGATGGGCCCATTTGTCTAATGGATACATGTCCACATACGACTCTGTTTGTTGCCTAACTAAGCATCACAACCTTGTCATTCTATTGATTGCTCGCAATACAAATGCAAAAATAATCATTAATTGCCAAGTGCCAAATACAATAACCCCATACCCCCTAAATCTCACCCACCCCGCTAAGTCAAAGATTTAGTTAGTTGACTACAATTAATTATCTCAATAGCATCCTCTAAATTTGCTGAACAACATATAGGGTTCCAATTTACTAGTTTTTCTTTAGTTCTGAATCCTTCTCCGAGCAAATGGAGGTATGATTGTCTCTTTCCTGTTTTTTTCCTTTCTTTAGAGAAATTTTCTGGAGAATTTGAGTCAAGATTTGTGTTTCAGCTATACTCTGTTGATTTTTAGTTTCCTAGATTTATTTCTGTGTTCTTGTTTTTTTTTTCTTTGTATATATGTTATGTTAAACGAACATCTTCTGTAATTTTTTGTTTAGTTTTTAAACAGAAACAATTGTAAGGATATATTCAGGCATTCAACTATTAAGATCTTTTTTTTTTTAATTTTTGGTTAGACATAACAGCTTTTGTTTCATTTCTGTCGATTTGTGGAATATTTGTATTATATGACTGCATGTTTCACATTCAGCAAAAAGCTTATGAGATTTTTTGTTTGGATTTGGTTCAACTCTTTTGAATATACTCGTGTAAAGTTTGACTGGAATATGGATTTTAACTCTCACTAGATGATTGCATGACAAAGTAAATTGTCAAATGACCAAGGTATATAACTAGGTAATTATTGCATGATTTGGCATACAAGCTTACCTAGGGTATTTGTCGTATTAAGATTTGATTTTCTTATTTTTAGACGAGTAAACCTTTCAGGAACTTCTAGAGCTTTTATTTGACTGGGTGTTAAGTTTAAGAAAGGAAAAAATAGCTTTGGAAATTGTGGCCTTAGTCATGCCATGATAGTTTTGTGGCTATTAAATCACATGTTTAAAAGGTAAATGGGAACTTCTAAATTAAATTATTCCCATATGGAAAGATATCGTTCTTTTTTGGAACATATTAAGAAGAAAATAGTGTCACATAAAATGGAATAGAGGGGAGATATTTGATTATATTAGAAAAATGGACTTCACATTTTCACAGAATATGAATGATCTGAGCTATTAGTTGATTAGTCATGCTATTGTATTGGTCTCTTTTTTGGCTCCTCGCTCTGACTCTTTTCCTTTCCACCCCGATCAATTGTGTCTAGTTTGGTAGTTCAGCTGCATCCATTTGGCTTATCTAGGGCCATGTTTATCACAGAGCTACTATTCTTCATCTTTTCTCTCTTGCTATTTGTAGATATCTAGGCAAGAATAATATATTTTAAGTTGATATATCCTTTGCAGTATCTATAGGTGCTTTCTTGTCAAAAACCTGTACTCCATGTCCTTTCTCTACCAATTAAATGTCAATTGAGTTCATCAACTTTTCACAGTCCACTTCCAAGTTCCAATTTTGGACCCAAATCTTGCAAGGTATTGCAAATTGTGTCCTCCTGGAACTGAATGCTGCTTTCCTTTTTCTTTTTTCCTGGTCTTAAGTGACCATAAAATTTTGGTCCTAAAATGACAACACAGTGTATGTGACACCCAGTTTACTCTTGTAGGATGATCAAATGCACCTCTTCATTTATTCTCTCTGTAACTTGGCTGAGTTAAAATGGGTAAACTGATTTTCTGGCAGGCACTTCAGAAGACTAGTGAAAGGCAAACGGCAGAACCTAAGCTTGAAGAAATGAACCAACCTGTTCAAGGGGACAGCTCCAGCACCCCTGCTAACCTTCCTTTGAAGCGAAGAAGGGGTCGCCCTCGTAAGGATCCTAGCTTGAAGCGTGTTGTTCGTGCTCAGGTTCCTCCACCTTTTGAATTAGTGCAAGAGATCCAACAAGTAAACAGAAATGATGGTATGATTGGTCAGGCTGTAACAGGTGTTGTTGAGTCTGCATTTGATGCTGGTTATTTGCTCAATGTTAGAATTGGTGACTCCAATACGAACTACAGGGGTGTAGTTTTTAAGCCAGGACATTATATTCCTGTCACAGCTGCAAATGATGTCGCCCCACATCTTGAGATGCTCAGAAGAAATGAGGTTCGTCCTCCGGCTGTAAACCAGCTTCAGGCGTATGGCCCTAGGGCTGAGCGCAATGGATCAGTTAAGCTTGGATCTAGGTCCTCAAAAAGCAAACAGGTAATAATGCATCCCTCAGTCCCTCCAGTGGGTGTCAGAGGCACAGTAGTTCCTGTTGTGCTACAACCTGTCAATTTAACAAATGGACTAGCATCTAGTCAAAGCTCTGCATCCCAAGCTTCAAACAGGGAGTCTATAAGGGAGAAAGATGTTCAGATGGTTAAGCCATTGGCTATGCTGCCACCTGATGGACCAGTAACCCCTGGACAGCTACCACCAGAACCAACTCGTGAAATACTTGCTTCACAAGCTCAAGTTGGCAACAAAGTAGCAATAGGTACTGGGCAGAATGAAGGCTATCTTAGCAAGGGAGGAGAAGCTGTCAAAGAGGAAAAGGCGCAGCCAGCTGCATCAACCAACATAGCAATACCTGTTGCAGTGGCCTACGTGTCTCAAGGATCTGGGCTGGCAAAAGAAGATACTGGAAACAATGAGGCCTCTAACAAGTTGCCAGCTGAACATTCACCTGTGATACCCAAACTAGATACTGTGAATCAGGTTCCCTCAGCAAAACCAAGTGAACCAGCAATCCCCACTCTTCCTACCCAGGCTACATCTGTTCCTAAGCTGCTGATGAACTATGGTACTGGCAGGATGACCGAACTTCTACAGGTAAATTTACCAAAACTTCAATATTCATTTTGAGCTCTAGAGTTTACTATGTCAATAAAGATCTAAGTCATGAAATTTTTCCTGCATGAAGGCTGTGCAGGAAAATCTGAAGGAGAACCAGCTGCTTCGTACTGGAGAATCAGGACTTGGTGTGATGAAGACTCCAGCAACTGATGGCAGTATGGAGGAGACTAGCATTCAGTAGCATAGCAGGAACATCCGCATATTCTCATCTCTGAAACTCACATCCCGTAGACTCTGGCAGACTGTATAGTCAATAGTGATACTAATGTCTCAAAATAGCTCCTGGTTGGCATTAGCCAAACCTTGAGAAGCTTATCTTTATATGTTTATCAGTTCAGATTAAAATCTTGCATAGACGTAAACGTTTATGGAAACTGTTTATAACGGTGGATTATACTTTCCGTTCTTATATCTGCTTTGCAATCGTATTGCTCATGTCTGCTATGCAGTCGTATTGCTTATATCTGCTTTGCAATCTTGAATTAGTTATATCATGTGACTGGCAATGTCAAAGTTGGAGAGCCTGCTTGTGCACAGGTAGCCAATTTTGGTATTGTAAATTCAGGTTTTGACAACACAATTTACTACACCCGAGCCAAGGGTCTTTCGATGGAGGTAAAGGTAAGATTTGCGTACCCTCTATTGTTCCAAGACATACTTGTGAGATTACACTGACTATATCTTGATGTGCATGAGCATGTTTTTAACATGAATACACATATACTTCCTTTTTTGGTTCATCTCGAATATACTTTGCATACCCTCTATCCTTTCTTTTTTGGTTCATCTTGAATATACTTTTGCATACCCCCTCTATCCTTTTGAGACATACTTGTGAGATTACATAGAGTATATCTTGATGTGCATGAACATGTTTTAAACAAGATCACTCAGATACTTCCTTTTTTGGTTCATCTCGAATATAATTTGCATACCCTCTATCTTTGATGTGCATGAACATGTTTTTAACAGGATTATTCAGATACTTCCTTTTTTGGTTCATCTTGAATATAATATGCATACCCTCTATCTTTTCGAGACATACTTGTGAGATTACAAGGAGTATATCTTGATGTGCATGAACATGTTTTTAACATAAATTACTCAAATACTTCTCCTTTCTTCTCCTTTCGAGACATACTTGTGAGAGTACACCGAGCATATCTTGATGTGCATGAACATGTTTTTAACAGTATTATTCAGATACTTCTCCTTTCGAGACATACTTGTGAAATTACACCAAGCATATTTTGATGTGCATGAACATGTTTTTAACATGATTACTCAGATAGTTCCTTTTTTGGTTCATCTTGAATATAATCTACGTACCCTTTATCTTTTTGAAACGTACTTGTGAGATTAAAAAAAGTATATCTTGATGTGCATGAACATGTATTTAACAGGATTACTCAGATACTTCTCCTTTCGAGACATACTTGTGAGATTGCACCGAGTATATCTTAATGTGCATGAACATGATTTTAACGGGATTACTAAGATACTTCTCCTTTCGAGACATACTTGTGAGATTACACCGAGCATATCTTGATGTGCATGAACATGTTTTTAATAGGATTACTCAGATATTTCTCCTTTCGAGACATACTTGGGAGATTACACATAGCATATCTTGATGTGCATGAACATATTTTTCACAGGATTACTCAGATACTTTTGTGAGATTACACAGAGTATATCTTGATGTACATGAACATGTTTTTAACAGAATTACTCAAATACTTTCTTTTTTGGTTCATCATGAATATACTTGATTTCGATATTCACCAAACTAACATGTTATAGAATGGACACCAATAACATTACAGCAATTTTTTATCAAAAAAGATTAGGACCTATCTTAGAATAGTATACAATTGAATCCAAGAAATGGCTTTGGTCAAAATATAACTTTGACACTGAAAATGAAACGTGGAAAAAATTCTTACAATAAATAGTTCAATATATGATAGTTTTTGATAAACCAAATCCATATTAGCGTAATGCATCAAACTTAAAGAGCTATAACAAAGCTATTAGTTTCAAGCTTAGTGTATCATACAAAAAGTGCAACTTTTCGACGCCCAAAAATTTGTGTTGCTGCAGTTCAAAACGGAAAATCCATCTCCTTTGGATATCACAACCAAAACAAGAACCGCCCGAGTGAACTCTTCCTCTACCTCCAAACAAAAACAACTTCATGCGTAACTCAATATACAATGTTAATGCCTCTCCCTAACAAAGAATAACCTGCTCATACTACAAGATCGAAAACTTTAGAAAAGAATCATGCTGCCAGACATTGAGAAGAAACGAAAAAGGAATCTCAATAGGCAGGCATCATTTCAACTACAGAAGTATATTCACGCGAACTTGTTAGGCACAAAACCATTAGGTACTGGGAATTGCATAGGCCGCATAACAGGAAAAGACGACTGTGTAATAGGAATGCTTGGGATAGTGAATGGTTGTTGTAGCCCTGTTATAACTGGGGGAGCCATATACAACTGCAGTGCTTGTGGTGCTGTACTTCCTGCAGCAAGGGATGGACTAAGGTTATTGTGCTAGTAAAATACAGATAACTTGTTTCAGGACTATCATATGTAAATAACTGCTTTGATAATTCAATATCCACATCACATCATCATTCAGGTGATAAAGTTATTGCAGCAAGTTGTATTTAGCCACAAATTGTTGTTCATCTGGTTGAAATTGCAAGACGATGAAAAATAGGAAACAAATTCATACTCAACAAACATATTATAGACATGATAGTCGAACAAAAAAAAGGACATACTAAGGCATCAAAACAATTGCTATAACTTTCCACGAGTTATATCTGCTGGCTACTATCAGCACGGCTGCATCTACAGCTTCTGGTCATCTGCCTTGCACAGGGAATCAGGGATAAAGTTTTTAAGACTTCATCTTAGATCCCGCTGTGCAAGCTTGAATTTTTATATAACTATTTGTTACAGCTACTAGCAGCAATTGCATTTAACTTGTTCTTATACTAAAGCAGACTAGAGCATCATGCATTCCAGACCCTGAATAAAAATAGCTGAGGCTACTAGCAACTATTGGTTTGAACTCAAGACTTAGTAGATGTACCATGAACACGTACCTTGATGCTTAGGAGGATGGACCTGATGTGGAATTAATACAGGACGTGTGGATACTTGAGGGAACCCCGCTGCACTCTGAACAATGTCCTTTTGACAAGATATCAGAGAGAAGAATCAGGAAATTGCAACACATAATACTCGAAGAAAATCAGATAGGAGGAAAGTAACAAAAGGCAATCCAAGTATATTGAAAAATGAACATCTACTGTCCGAAAATTTTTGTCCCAAAATAAGCTACAGAAAGTAATTTGTCTTACATGAGAAACAGGATGATGCATATAAACAAGTGGTCCCAACCGTCCAACCATAACCTGAAAACATAAAGAATTTTAGAAGTGGCATTAACATATGTAACCGTCTTACAAGCACAAAAATAATAACAGGATGGTATGATTTTGTCCTGCGGATGTCAATTTAGTAATAGGGCCACAATCCTCGACATGCTAAACCTCAATGACTATACAACTACGGCGGCAGAGCTTTCTTTCCAGCCTAACAAAATAAACAGCTTCAGAAAGACAAAGTTGCATAATAATTTCCCTTACATTTTGAGAATTTGGATGCACATAACCAGTTGCAGCCTGAAGGTGATGATACTGACTGCCATACCTTGCCGGCTGAGTCCTGCTTCCCATGTATCCAATTGTCTACATGTTAACAACAAAAGGGTTCATAAACTATGCAGCAGCATCAAAACAGTAATAACTGATTCTGTATAAGTATGACATAGAATAATGGAGGTGATTGGTTTAACTTGTCTCATATTAAGCCGTAGCAACTAATTTGAAAGCGCATCTGGTGAATCATTGCTAAGTAAGAAAGCAGCACCTCTTTGGTAAACTGCATATAATAATACCAAGAAAAAGAATCCCAACTACTTTCTGCTACCTTCAAAACTGTTTATTCAAACAACAGTTTTTATCTGGGCCAGCTTTCGTCCCCCTCGACCAATTCCACGCGATACCTCCCACCTCCCACAAGCAACGAGTACCATCATGTAACTTTGTCCGCCAAGGCTAGGACAGACGGGTAGAATAACCTAGTGTGTTTAACTCCGCTGGGATTTGAACATGAGACCTCATGATCTCAACCACTAGGCCACAACTTTTTTTAATCTCTTCTTTTAATTGACATATACATCAATTAACTTCGCTAAATGTATATCGGCGATATAATTAGATTAGATGAAGCACAGAATTGCATTACAGTCTCCATAATAGACCGACAGGCTAGTCTCCAAACACCATCCAGCATAGGTCTGCTATGGTTATGTAAGTAAGAATGTAAGATACAACTTCTTGTGGTCAATATGAGATGGTTAAGGTACAAAGATATGGTGGTTAATCAACCAAAACAATTTTTTAATCAGTAAATAAATCTAAGTTACTCAAAGCAAACAGCAACTCCAATTGTCAGAAAACCAAAGCAGGGAGCAGGTGCTGCGTTTTCAAAGTAAAGATAAGAAATGTGATCACATACCGGTTGAGCATACTGTACATCCAAGCCACCATTTCCAGCTGCCAAGTTATTATATGGGACAAACTTGACAGGCACAGATGAATGAGGAGCAAAGGGGGTAATTTCAACTGCAGGCTCTGCTGTAACAATAGGTACTACAGGACAGGAATCTGGCACGTAAGCCATCGTTGGCACCACAGGAGGTGTAACAGTTCTATGCTGCAAAGTCGATGGAGAAAATATCTTTGCCCCAGGGTTGAGCTTAGATTCCTAGAGAGAGAAAATCAACAGTCATAAATCATCTTAGATGAAGAATAATACAGGATCAACAAGGAGACGAATTTCCAAAATCTCGAAGTACTGACATCACCATAAACCTACTGAAAATATTAGCTTATATACTCTTGATTACTAGGAACAACTAAGAATTAAAGCATGCACCGACAACAATGGACCCCACTAAGTTCACTTTACCTTTGTACTAACATTATGAATTGAACCTCGTGAAGGCACCAAATCAGCTGGAGCTGATGATGAGCTGACGCATGAGACTGAGGTGATTGGAGCACCAGAGGAAGTAGCGCCCAAACAAGGAGTTTTGCCTAGAGTCTGCTGCTCATGACTGTGCCTATCATTGTTCGGATCATCAAGTTTGGTTGAGGAAAGAGGAGGACTACCATTACATATTCCATTTGATGACAACTCCAAGTTTTTCATGAAGGTAACATTCTCAAGGTGACTTGCTTGAGTAACAGAAACATCCACTGCAAGTGAAAAAATTGCAATACCATATTACTGACATTCTTTTGGTTTATGATAATATATACACTACATAAAGAGCTCAAAGA